GGTTAATGCTGTTAGCATTTGAGCTTACTGCCTTGCATTTTAATGGCTGGCTAGCATTCACTTGAGATTCTTGCAGCGCGCTTTCAGAGTTTCTCTGAAACCCTCCACCCTCCCCAGCTCCACCTGTATAGATCTGCTACAGGTTATTACATATGCTATTTGTGCAGCAGCAGTATGTCTTAAATACTCACAGCACCGTATTAGCGTATGTATTGGCAGTAGCAAGTTCCTGTACTTGCTTCGCAGCAGCAATAATTTACAACAACAGCAATAACCATCAGCAGCAGCAGCGTAGCAGATCTATTCCACCAAGACCAAATACATTAACATTGTCATATCCATTATGCTAAAATCTTCAGAGGGTTTGTCATTATATAAATGTTTAATACAATGTAATTAAAATATTTAAAAATATCTATATTATAAAGCTGATCTGAGATCAGGTAAACACCATATAGACACTGGTTAATGGGTAAATAGACCGCCCCCTAGCGGCAAACCTTTAAAATTTTCAAAATGTTTTGATACAGACATAGTCTCAGCCTCAGACGTCACACCCACAGACCGCTGGCTGAACGTCTGATGCATATGGAACGTTTAGCTGGAAACACTTCCAAGAGTTTCGAAGTCGTCGTCGGATTGGTTAAATTATACAGGATTTCTGGGAGATGTGTATGTCGCGTTCTTTAACGTTCTGCCTGAAAACATAAATGCCGTGATGTCAAACCCCCTCATCAAAGAAGAAAGCCGTCGTGTTTACAATTGTGACGATGAGCGCTTATCAGGATCAATTAAACTCTGGGGCGTGGTTGGATCCACATCTAGGGGGTGGAGATTGGTAGGTTTAGGGGTGGAGATGGGTGGGTTTAGGGATCAGGGGGTGGAGACGGGTAGGTTTAGGTATATGTAAGGTGGGAGGAGTTGGATCTGGATCCAACCATGCCCCCTGGATCTTGTGTTCTGCAGTGAGGACCATCTTGTTATTGTGGCGAGATTTCCATGGCCATAAACATGACGCGGCAAAAACGAAACGTGATTGGTTGCTTTACCTGTCAGTTATATGGCCTCTTGGGCGGGCCTTGACCATTCAAATCGGCCAAGGTTTCCAGACCTTCTGCCGTCAGTCTGAAGGTCTGGCTACGCAAGACTAATACAGATATGACATAATGAAGCCTTATTTACTAAAATCATGTGACTTTGGCAGTTGGATATGCATATGCATTCCGAACCTGATTCAAAACAAAAGATTTGCAAAGGTTTCAAAGCTTAATGGGGTCATAGGATGCCCATTTCCCACAAGTTGATATGATTCTTTAGGGTCTTAATAAAACAACTTGTAAATGTGCATGTAGCATCCTATGACCCCTTTAATAAATTGCACATCACTAATAGCGAAATTTCCAAAACTATCTGTTGAAATTACATTTCAATTGACTCTTTGCAAAGACCCGCCCCCCTTTGTTACTGTTGTGATGTCCGACAAGCCATGCCACTCTTATGCCACACATCATGTTCTCACGCAGTGAAAAATACATTGTGGAGCAAAGAGAAAACTGACAACGCACCGATAGACAACACAGAGCAGGTTACTTTACGTATGAAATTTTGTAATTTTTTAAAAGAAATTCAAACAATAAATACTGTTTTGTGGCTCTTAAATGAATCGTGACAGATCGCTGTAGCGGCATGTGAACCAATCATCTCTTCCTCTTCACTAGTTACAGCATGAAATAAACATGAATGAACATCAGAAGTTATCTTGTTTCAACCGCAGAAATACGTCAAAACACACAATTTTTCAAGTTCAAGTCCACCAACGTTAATCTACTCTCCTGTCTGGTTTGTTTGCTGCACAAAAATGACAGATTGATTGGTATGATTGATTGATTGATTGTACGATATGATTGGTCAGATCGCCTGTCAATCAAACTCAATTACAATAGCAATAAAATCTGACAATCATGGTATCATAAATGTTGGTGCTTTACAGTAGCTCAAATTCAGGCTGTCTTCAATGATTTGCAGCCAACACTGCTATAACTAAGGTGATATATTTATTTTTAAGAGAAGATATATTTATTATTAATAATTAAAAATGACATAGTGAATAAATTCAGACTTTTGCTTAAGTCTTCTATTTTTCAAGAGCAACAGGCCCCAGAAATCTCAATCTCAAATTTTTGCCAAGATAGCTATATGAGGTTTCTCATTAACTTCTTCCCGGACCAAATGATCTGAGCTATGTTACTTACATTCATTTTTTATTTCTACTCTTAACTCTAGTCAATGATTGTCTCAGTTTAACTGTGGGAGGGACATCAGAGAAGTAGTTACAACAATGAAACATAACTGTGAACTCTAGCCACATCTGCAGTCAAATTTCCCACTGAAAACACTTAGAAATAACTGAAAGATGGAGGTGTGTTTTAAAAAGCCTCTACTGTGATGCAAGCGCCTCACATCTGTTATCTGTGTGCATGAGTGACACAATGGCAACGCCCTATAATGCATTTTCAGTGTCTCTCTTTCAGCTTGGTATGACATACATACAGACAAATGGTCTGGCACAAGGCTCCGTTCTCTGCAGTGACTGGTACTTATAGAGCACAGCATGTTAGAAGCCTCTCTGTCATCCTCCATCCCTCCAGAGTCTTTTGTACCGCAGTCATTACTTTACATCAAAACACTATGATTACATGCTTGAAAAGAACAAAACAAACCTGACTGTTTGCATCGCAAGATGTCTATATAACATTTGGGAATTTGGGAAGGTCACACTTTTGTCAGTTGGTCAAGCATTCATGGTTAATGGGTGATAAATATAATTAAATGGCTAACTATTGGCAATTTAATCATTTGGTTGATATACTGTATATCTTTCACTCTTTCACTCAGATACTCAAAACAACTAATAGTAATCACAAAACAATTATGTAACATAATAGATTTATTTCCCAAGGCAAGTTCACCATTGGCTTGCAGCGTACAAACGGTTACGTGAACAGTGTGCTGGATGAACTGCATGAGTTCATTCTAACTTAGGTGTACGTCTGTGTTTGAGGAATGAACTGTGCAACTAAAATGAACTGATGTCACTGAGTAAATATGCATTTTCCTGATAGACTTTGGCTACTGTGAGAAAAAGGTCTGATTTGACTTCTGGAATGTACAAGAGCCAGTGAGGAAAGGGCAATGACAACTTTTATACTTCGATAAAGCAGAAAATTTGATGTAACTACATAAAATTTTAAGCACAAATGATATAAATGTGAAAGCATAAAATTAAAAGTCTATTTAATTAACATGTCACATGGCTATCGTGGTTATTGTAACTAAAAGTATCGTAAAAAAGTTAACTGAAATTAAATAATAATAATAAAATATAAAAAAATGTATTTGATTTCAGCTACTTGCCAAGAAAACATTTCTCATTTTCCCTTAGTTTACCTTGATGTAATAAAATAAGTATACAACTAAAACTGAAATAAACATTAATAAAAACTATACAGACATTAAAATACAAAACAAAAATTTTAACACTTTACAATGAGGGTCCATTAGTTAATGTCAGTTAATGCATTGACTAATATTAACTAACAATGAGAAATAAATTTGTTATGGTATTAATTAATCTTTGTTCACGTTAATGAATAAAAATACAACTGTTCATTGTTTGTTTATGTTAGCCACATTCTATAATGTAATTAAAAAATATTAACAAAAGCTATAATATTTCAATTATACTAAAATAGCATGAAATGATGAGGTACAGTATATATACACTACCGGTAAAAAGTTTGGGATCAGTAAGACTTGTAATGTTTTTTAAAGAAGTCTCTTATGCTCATCAATGCTGCATTTACTTGATCAAAAATACAGAAAAAAAACAGTAATTTTGCAAAATGTTATTACAATATAAAATAATGGTTTCTATTTTAATATCCTTTAAAATATAATTTATTTCTGTGATGCAAAGCTGAATTTCCATCAGCCATTACTCCAGTATAAAGTGTCACATGATCCTTCAGAAATCATTC